AAATTTCGACCCGAAAAAAAAACGACAGTGTTACCCCTTACGTTTTTTTTCATTTTCGGGCGAAAAATTAAGTTTCTCCAATCTTCTCAAAACTCTGGATTATGATAGAGGGCCGCGAGACTTTGACCTGAGTGCAAAAATGGAGGCTCTAGACCCTTCCAGAGCTGAGATATCGAAACTCAAAATTTCGACCCGAAAAAAAAACGACAGTGTTACCCCTTACGTTTTTTTCAGTTTTCGGGCGAAAAATTAAGTTTCTCCAATCTTCTCAAAACTCTGGATTATGATAGAGGGCCGCGAGACTTTGACCTGAGTGCAAAAATGGAGGCTCTAGACCCTTCCAGAGCTGAGATATCGAAACTCAAAATTTCGACCCGAAAAAAAAACGACAGTGTTACCCCTTACGTTTTTTTTCATTTTCGGGCGAAAAATTAAGTTTCTCCAATCTTCTCAAAACTCTGGATTATGATAGAGGGCCGCGAGACTTTGACCTGAGTGCAAAAATGGAGGCTCTAGACCCTTCCAGAGCTGAGATATCGAAACTCAAAATTTCGACCCGAAAAAAAAACGACAGTGTTACCCCTTACGTTTTTTTCAGTTTTCGGGCGAAAAATTAAGTTTCTCCAATCTTCTCAAAACTCTGGATTATGATAGAGGGCCGCGAGACTTTGACCTGAGTGCAAAAATGGAGGCTCTAGACCCTTCCAGAGCTGAGATATCGAAACTCAAAATTTCGACCCGAAAAAAAAACGACAGTGTTACCCCTTACGTTTTTTTCAGTTTTCGGGCGAAAAATTAAGTTTCTCCAATCTTCTCAAAACTCTGGATTATGATAGAGGGCCGCGAGACTTTGACCTGAGTGCAAAAATGGAGGCTCTAGACCCTTCCAGAGCTGAGATATCGAAACTCAAAATTTCGACCCGAAAAAAAAACGACAGTGTTACCCCTTACGTTTTTTTTCATTTTCGGGCGAAAAATTAAGTTTCTCCAATCTTCTCAAAACTCTGGATTATGATAGAGGGCCGCGAGACTTTGACCTGAGTGCAAAAATGGAGGCTCTAGACCCTTCCAGAGCTGAGATATCGAAACTCAAAATTTCGACCCGAAAAAAAAACGACAGTGTTACCCCTTACGTTTTTTTCAGTTTTCGGGCGAAAAATCAAGTTTCTCCAATCTTCTCAAAACTCTGGATTATGATAGAGGGCCGCGAGACTTTGACCTGAGTGCAAAAATGGAGGCTCTAGACCCTTCCAGAGCTGAGATATCGAAACTCAAAATTTCGACCCGAAAAAAAAACGACAGTGTTACCCCTTACGTTTTTTTCATTTTCGGGCGAAAAATTAAGTTTCTCCAATCTTCTCAAAACTCTGGATTATGATAGAGGGCCGCGAGACTTTGACCTGAGTGCAAAAATGGAGGCTCTAGACCCTTCCAGAGCTGAGATATCGAAACTCAAAATTTCGACCCGAAAAAAAAACGACAGTGTTACCCCTTACGTTTTTTTTCATTTTCGGGCGAAAAATTAAGTTTCTCCAATCTTCTCAAAACTCTGGATTATGATAGAGGGCCGCGAGACTTTGACCTGAGTGCAAAAATGGAGGCTCTAGACCCTTCCAGAGCTGAGATATCGAAACTCAAAATTTCGACCCGAAAAAAAAACGACAGTGTTACCCCTTCGTTTTTTTTCATTTTCGGGCGAAAAATTAAGTTTCTCCAATCTTCTCAAAACTCTGGATTATGATAGAGGGCCGCGAGACTTTGACCTGAGTGCAAAAATGGAGGCTCTAGACCCTTCCAGAGCTGAGATATCGAAACTCAAAATTTCGACCCGAAAAAAAAACGACAGTGTTACCCCTTACGTTTTTTTTCATTTTCGGGCGAAAAATTAAGTTTCTCCAATCTTCTCAAAACTCTGGATTATGATAGAGGGCCGTGAGACTTTGACCTGAGTGCAAAAATGGAGGCTCTAGACCCTTCCAGAGCTGAGATATCGAAACTCAAAATTTCGACCCGAAAAAAAAACGACAGTGTTACCCCTTACGTTTTTTTTCATTTTCGGGCGAAAAATTAAGTTTCTCCAATCTTCTCAAAACTCTGGATTATGATAGAGGGCCGTGAGACTTTGACCTGAGTGCAAAAATGGAGGCTCTAGACCCTTCCAGAGCTGAGATATCGAAACTCAAAATTTCGACCCGAAAAAAAAACGACAGTGTTACCCCTTACGTTTTTTTTCAGTTTTCGGGCGAAAAATTAAGTTTCTCCAATCTTCTCAAAACTCTGGATTATGATAGAGGGCCGCGAGACTTTGACCTGAGTGCAAAAATGGAGGCTCTAGACCCTTCCAGAGCTGAGATATCGAAACTCAAAATTTCGACCCGAAAAAAAAACGACAGTGTTACCCCTTACGTTTTTTTCATTTTCGGGCGAAAAATTAAGTTTCTCCAATCTTCTCAAAACTCTGGATTATGATAGAGGGCCGTGAGACTTTGACCTGAGTGCAAAAATGGAGGCTCTAGACCCTTCCAGAGCTGAGATATCGAAACTCAAAATTTCGACCCGAAAAAAAAACGACAGTGTTACCCCTTACGTTTTTTTCATTTTCGGGCGAAAAATTAAGTTTCTCCAATCTTCTCAAAACTCTGGATTATGATAGAGGGCCGCGAGACTTTGACCTGAGCGCAAAAATGGAGGCTCTAGACCCTTCCAGAGCTGAGATATCGAAACTCAAAATTTCGACCCGAAAAAAAAACGACAGTGTTACCCCTTTCGTTTTTTTTCATTTTCGGGCGAAAAATCAAGTTTCTCCAATCTTCTCAAAACTCTGGATTATGATAGAGGGCTGTGAGACTTTGACCTGAGTGCAAAAATGGAGGCTCTAGACCCTTCCAGAGCTGAGATATCGAAATTCAAAATTTCGACCCGAAAAAAAAAACGACAGTGTTACCCCTTACGTTTTTTTTCATTTTCGGGCGAAAAATTAAGTTTCTCCAATCTTCTCAAAACTCTGGATTCTGATAGAGGGCCGCGAGACTTTGACCTCAGTGCAAAAATGGAGGCTCTGGACCCTTCCAGAGCTAAGATATCGAAACTCAAAATTTTGACCCGAAAAAAAACGAAAGGGGTACCACTGTCGTTTTTTTTTTTTTGGGTCGAAATTTTGAGTTTCTCTGATCTTCTTGAAACTCTGGATTCTGATAGAGGGCCATGAGACTTAGACCTCAGTGCAAAAATGGAGGCTCTGGACCCTTCCAGAGCTGAGATATCGAAACTCAAAATTTTGACCCGAAAAAAAACGAAAGGGGTACCACTGTCGTTTTTTTTTTTGGGTCGAAATTTTGAGTTTCTCTGATCTTCTTGAAACTCTGGATTCTGATAGAGGGCCATGAGACTTAGACCTGAGTGAAAAAATAGAGGCTCTGGACCCTTCCAGAGCTGAGATATCGAAACTCAAAATTTCGACCCGAAAAAAAAAACGAAAGGGGTACCACTGTCGTTTTTTTTTCTTTTCTTGGGTCGAAATTTTGAGTTTCTCTGATCTTTTTGAAACTCTGGATTCTGATAGAGGGCCATGGGACTAAGACCTGAGTGCAAAAATGGAGGCTCTAGACCCTTCTAGAGCTGAGATATGGATATCCCACGTAGCATTTATGCCATTATAAAAATAGTGTGTTCGTGGATGGTGGAATTATGGGATGGCGCTTGGTGCTACGGACTCAGGGGAGCCTTGTGAGTGCAGTAAAATAGTTTTTTTCATAAAAATATATATTATATCCATAAAAAAAAATATTAATATAAAATATTTAAAATATTCATATTTAAGTTGCGCTTTAGATTTAAATCCATATGTTCTTTTGGCTGGAAGTTGTTTTACTTTATAAAGTTTTAAATATGGATATTTTTCTTACATCTCCGTCTTCCTCATTACTCCACATAAAGTCAACATCTGAGATATTTTCATCAGCTATATGTTCAAGCACTTCAGAACTGTATATTCTGCACATGAAAACGTTTCAAAAATGTATTGGTACTGTGATATATATATATATATATATTTTATAAAAGAAATTTCAATCAGCATCACTGTGACTTCAGTAACAGGCGTTCAAACCTACTGTCCATTCTAATGGACAGACACATTTAAAAAAAAAATCCTGATTTAAAATGTGCAATTCTACAGTCGATTTTTAACTTTAATTAATAAGTTCAATCTTTCTATTTTACATACAAACTATGAAATACTGGCAAAAATATATACAAAATGTAAATACACCTTAGAAAATGTTGCTTGCTTCTTTGTTTGGAGTGAAGTGCTGCCATGCTTCTCTTCAATGTAGAGTTTTTTATTTAATTAATTACTACATGCAGAGCTTTACTGGCATTTGATTGGATGACAAACGTCCAATCTCATGGACTGCAGGTTTTAAACTAGGTGAAATGCTCCAGAAGTTAAAAAAGGGGGCTGACATGTGATGTCCATTGTAATGGCCGCAGGGTCTGAATGGGTTAATAAAGAGATCGTAAAACGAATCCATATTAATTAAGCGGTTTAGTAGTCTACAAATCTTCTGAAAAGCTTTTTTTTTGTGATGGACAGAATGAATTTAAGCTTGTATTCCTTTAATGACACAAGAGCTTCTAAGTGTAGAGCCCTGATTACATGAAACAATAAAATGTACCGGTTGCTGTATTTTCTATGATCTTTTTCATTTTTATATTTAGTCTCCAAAAGGGGGCAGACTTCCCCTAACAATAGTCTGCAAGTTTTTTTTTTCCCCGGCTCAGTCCATCATATGTTTGAGACTAGTTTCTAATAAAGTTTAGGGAACATATGCACATAATTTGCAAAATGTCTTGCCATTTGAGTCCACAGTATATTTTATAGTATTTACACGGCGTTACTCACATTGAATATCATTAAACTCTCTGTTTGATTAGTCAAGCTCTTGACATAATTACCATACCTAAAAAAAAACAATGATGAGGATTAGACTGCAAATGTTCAAGAGTCATTTATTTTCAGAGATTGAGAGATTGAAATTATTAATATTAAACAAACTGTACATTTTATACATACGTTGAAAGTGTGGTAGATATTAAAAGCCATCAACCATCACAAAATAAAGAACTCTTTTTTTTCTGGGATGATGACAACCAAATGGAAAAGCAATACAAACATTTGCAAACATTCACTGACCAAAACACAGCAACACTAAATAATTGTTTCCAACACAACAGCCAACAAATCAGAAAAAGAGCTCTGACAGGGAAATGTGGAACTCATCACTGATGAGCTGTGGTGGCTCTGAAGTTTCTATCAAACCATTCCAAAGTCACAATTGGATCAGAGCTGACCAGCTGGATTATTAAGACTAGTGATGCCGTGATGACGACAAGGGAGTATCTCATGAGACTTTGAACACATCTTTCAAATCACTGTGTAAAAAAGGCAATTTCATAACATCCCACTAATAAACACACAACACAGAGCCCTCATTATTTAACCTTCATTGCAGGGGAATAGCAGCTTTTGGGGTTGTCAAGGAAGCAGATAATATTTCAGTCCAATGAGGTGATTCAACAATGCATTTTAAGGAATAAAAAAAAAGCTGAATTCTGAGAAAAACGGAATCTCTGACAGGTTGAAACTGCGTTGATGGAAGGAAATAATAAAAAATACGTGTTGATGGCCGATGATGACCTAATTCTACGTCTCGGTGTACACTGAAGACATTTGGCTCAAGCCGCGATCGAAGCCACCCACCTGAAAGAAAACACTTTCCTCTGTGCCCGGCGAGAACTGGCAACCTGACCCTATGATGTCGGGCACCAAGCTGAAACCTTTACATTAAAAAAAGAGAACATACGGAAAAATGTGTTAAACGCTCTCAGAAAATGCACAAATTGTCCCATTAGATAATCACTAAAACTACCCCTAAAGAGCACATACGAGTACCTTTAGGTACCTTGAAGGGTAGACAGTTAAAAATAGTTTCTAAAAGGGTTTTTTCGCAGTGCTACCATAGATGAACAATTTTATGTTGCCCAAAGAACCTCTCAGTGAACAGTTCTTGAACCATTTTTTAACGTTTTTTTCCACTATAAAGAATGTTTTCTGGAATGCAAAGGTTACATGGATGTTAAAAGTTGTTCATGGAACCATCAATGGCAATAAAGTACCTTTATTTTTAGGGTAGGGTTCAGCCCAATTTTTGCACATTATAAATACTCTCATTTAACATCAAGAATACTATTTAGGCTAGTGAAACGAGACAAATAGTTGAGTAAAATGGAAAGAATAACTAGCCAGTGCTGTATTTCAAAAAGTATTGTAAGCTTAAGTAGATTATGGAACCATTGCCACTAATGAGTTTTGAGATCATATTGTTTCTAACCAGTCCTGAAACGAATCTACTGTGCTCTAATGTATAATGACGGCACACAATTTCAGTCGTGCTTCAATTTATTGTTATATTGCTTAATAATAACAGGATTTGTGGAGGCAAATTTGCACAATCAGGAATTTCATGTGAGGGTGAACGATCTCCCCATGCAGATTTCATAACGGGTTCAAGTTGGTTACACAAATTTGCAGTGTTGACCAACAGAAAACTTCTTAGATTGAAAGTGCTTTCACTTCTTAGTTATTTGTCATCTGCGCTTTATGTTGACAATTGACCTCTCTTGCTCAAAAAATGTCACCAAAATGTATTTGTGTACCTGTGGAAGAGGTGTTGGTGGAACAGCTCATGTGGAAGCCGTTGTGTGGGTTTGTGTTGAAGCTGTGAGACTCTGCAGGTTGATGACCGCTGCTCATGGACTGGTCCATCCGGTAGCTGTCACCAAAATGGAAACAGCTCTGGAAGTTACCACGGTAATCTGTAAACAAACATTTATAGAAAAGATAGGATATAAGCATTAGAATACAATTTAATTCAATTGTGGCTTTAGATTCAAAACTTAAAATAGCTCTTTAACAATGAGGCAAAAACCACAGACTGTAACAGTATTCCCGTTTGTATTTCTATTTTTGGACTTTTCACTCTTTCTCCAAGTTTGCTTCTGTTCAACAAGTAGTCTCGCTCAGATGGGGGTCTTGGATTTGAGGTGGTACACACATGTACATCAAGTTGAGCGTTTCTCCTTTAGCAGTTCTTTTGACTGACAGCTTAGCTGTTTTAGAGCAAAAAGCTTCCTCTTGTGGTTCCAGGCATCTCTTTCAGCCCACATGTTCTGGCTAATACACAGAGCACTGCAGAGACTATGCCAGTTCTCATACTGATGTGGCTCTTTCTGACATTAAATACTCATGAGCTGATGTTTTAAACAGGTATATTCCAATAGATCAGGAGTAAAGGCATGGGATGGGTGCTGTAAGTGGTACATGCGTACAAGTGGCATTTATATATTATACAAAATAATTATACACAGTGCATCCACATATATTATGTAAACACAAACTTTTATTTTGGATGCGGTTAATCGCTATTAATCCTTTGAAAGCCCTATATATACTTTTTTTTTTTTTTTATTTTGTTTAAAGGTTCAATAAAGTCCAGGACTTTTAATGTGATCAACAGTGTGAATACTTGATCCACCCAGCAAAATCCGATCAAACAATCTCTGAAAATGACACGTACGGTCTCGTACCGTCACTTGTAGGCAGGTTGTGGAAGGTGGAGTAGGGTTTATGATGAGTGTGGAGGTGCTGCTGGTTGGTAGAGGAGTTCTGTTGCTTCTCTAGTGTTGGTGGAGGAGATGTAGCGGCCTTCATCAGACTGATCCCTGGAGACAGCAAAGCTCCAGATAACCTAAGACAGAGTGAACGTTAACTATTAAGATTAATGGTGAAAGATAAAGCAGGCCAAAAAAACATACCATAAAATTTAATATGGAGTTTACAACGTTTATTACAAGAGTCTTCTGAATGTTATTAAAAGGAACTTTAGAGCCTCACCCCATCTTACCTTTAACCATGTGAAAGATCTGAAAGTATTACCTCAGAAAAAGAGTCACATAGCCTTAAGTAAAACATTATTTATTTATTTTTATTCATTTATTTTTTATTTACTCTAACATGCTTCATCCTATTCCAATTCTTGTTATAGTGGAAAGTCATGAGCCTGGTTTTGATTGAGTACAAGCCTGTTCTTCACTCCAGATGCCACTTCTCCATAACATGCCCCTGACTTACTGTACACTGTAATGGCTGTGGGGAAGTTATGATAGCTTGCTCAAGCCTGCACACAATGGAACAAATAAAGGCTTTGTTTGTGCCATTAGATGCAGCTGTCACAAGCAAGTCTTCATATATGCAAAACCGAGTTTCAGCAAGACATGAAGTGCCAACCAATGGCCCTGTGAAGTCGTTCCTGCCCCCCTAAGTCAAGGGCCTCTGCCTTTAGTGCACACATCAAAGAGTCATATTCTGAATTTCAGAAATGAACAGAGAACAAAAACAAACTCAAAGAATCGCCTTTTTAAACAGAAGTATGACTAACAGATGCTCATCATGATACAGTTAAAGAGAGACATTATGAGGACATATACAGCTCTAATGTAAGACGTGGAGAAAAATTAATGCACTTTACTGCCTGTTCGGCTCTAATGATGTCTCGGCTATAAGAGATCAGTATTTATAAATATAGTTACTTAATTATTTAAAACACCTTATGGCAAATATAAAGGTGTATATGCTAGTCAACTCATAAAATTCACTTTTAGAAGATACACACTACCGTCTGGGGTACTTTTATTCACTAATTACACAATAAAGGTATCAAAAGTGACTGTAAAGACAGTGTAGAGACACTGTGAAAAACAATTGTAAATAATGATGTAATGATACTAAAAAATCAGCTTTGCATCACAGGAATAGATTAAATTTTAAAATGAATTAAAATAGTAATATAGTAATAATATTTCATAATATTAGCTTACTGGGTTACACTTTGATAACACTTTATTTTACAGTGTCCTTGTTACATTATGTTACATGTAGCTTCTTACCATCGCAATAACAGTAAATTATGCATAATGACATGCAACTAACCCTCAACCAAACCCTAATCCTACTATAACCCTATAGCAAGTAGGCATGTATGACTCAGTACTTAAATATTTAATTACACTATAACAATGACACCTTAAAGTGTAACCGAAACTTCTTACAAAAACATTACTGTACTACACATCAACATTTACAGTCTTCTTATCAAGGAAAATAAACCTGTTGATGAATGTCCCTCCCCTTAATATCGTGTGCAAATGACAAGCAAGCAGCAAATTATGTTAACTGCTTTAAGTTAATGAAAGCATAGTGGCTATTTTAAAAGAAAGGGCGCAGGCCTTTCGTTATGAGTGCACCTTTAAGCATGTGCATTTAAACAGACACATAATAAATAACATTTAAATTGTCTTTTTGTACTATCCACAGATTTAAGACCTAGCAAAGCGCTAATGTAGAATTTGGACTCCATTGACATTATAATTGGTTTTTATTTATGCTCAAGGCCTCATGTGGGAGTGATGTTTCCCATTGTTCATTTGCCCAGAATCTGATAAGGACTTCCTTGGCTGTTACATGTTAGACCATTATGTCGTTTTTCACTGTTAGCCAAATTCACATTCCAAGGACTTGGTTTCATCATAAGTGCATTAAAAAAAAAATTAATAATCCACAAATTGTTTTAACTGTGCTCGGATGTAACCCCATGAGTCACAGGGCTCTCCTCACACAGTCTCAAAGTCTGCACTAGCATATTTCGCAAGGCATGCAGCAACGGAATTAGCATTAGCGGGCTAGCTTGTGTTTGTATGCAGCAAAGCTCGGTTCCGATAGTCGCTGACGTGACGTGTGCTTCTGAGAGAGCATGGCGGCAGCGTTCCCCTGGGAGCTGCTGTCAGCACAAGCTCAGGAAACAGTTATACTGTTCATATTTTTACAAGCAGCCTCTATGTGAAGCTAAAGTGAATCATGCTATAATCACTGCCAGCTGCAGCTCGCTAAGGCTCCAGGAATGAGGGGAATCTTTCATATGTGGGATTAATATCTCCCTTCGGTATTTACCTTCACTGATCATCTGCTTTCACCTTTGCAGACTCGTTTTTTGACAATACCGCCTGTCTCTCACGTCATAAGAGCTTTATATGGCCGCTGACCTATGTATGGATCATCCAAAGGTTCGTGTTCACCAAAGTGATAGAAAAGCATTTGGCTTGCTCAAGTATAACACTTAAAACCTCCCTATATCTAAATAAGGAAAGAAACGTCCGATTGAGATGGAGGATTGATGCTGGAAGACTTCTATATATAGCCTAAAAGATTTCTATTTCAAATAGATGCTGAACTTTCTTTTGAACTTTCCTTTCATCAAATCTGAATATTAGAATTATTTCTGAAGGATCATGTGACACTGAATACTGGAGTAATGATGCAATGATGCTGAAAATTCAGCATTGCCATCACAGGAATAACTTATATTTTTAATTAAATTAATATAAAAACAGTGATTTTAAATTGTAATATTACTTCACTATATTAGGCTACTTAGCGCACAGTGTCTGTATTGCAAAAACCTACGTCTTATTACCAACTGCTTGCAATAAAATTCAATCCTTTTTTATGCAGTGGTTTAGTGGCATATTTAAAGTCCCCATGTAATCTAAATTGAATTTTTTGGGCTTTTCGTATGATTATGTTAAGCTGGGGTGCTCTAAAACAATGACAAAAATCGCATTTAGTAACATTCAAAACTTACAATCTCTCACTTCTGCCAAAATAGATGAATGATTTTGATGACATCACGCTGCACTTCAGCTTCTCGTCAGATTTTATGTCCAATCAACTGCTCTCTAGAATCTAAAGCGCCCCGCCCCATACATAAAAAATAGATGCTGAAGGTGCAGCTAAAATAAATCACTTGTTCACATATTTACCATTTTATATGTGGCGAATGGCACAAAGTGCAATAGATAGGGAACAATTCAGACAGTGTAAAAATTATGCTTTCCATTGGGGCAAATTAAGTGGAATGCTACATACATAGAATACAACATATGCGCGAATCGGTTCAGATCACAAAACATATTGCGCCTATTTGAATTCTATACAGAAGCGATATTAAAGCGATATGGAGATTAGGATTAGGAAATTATGTCAACACATTGAATAATGCTGCACACTTCAAGGCACTTTAGTGGGCCTTTAAATAATGATAAATTTCAGCACAAACATGCTAGCTTCCATGCAATTGGAATTTAAAATGAAATATAAAAAATGACAGTATAACCACATTCACAACACTCAGAATCAGCAAGATGCATGATGGGTAATTGTGTAATGTTAAATTGTATTTAGCACAGATTTGAGTTAAGAGGGTTGGGATATACTGTAGGAAACTTTGGTCCACCATCTCGAAAAAGTCGACTTCACAGGGACTTCAAAGAACAATGACCAAACCCTTAATAGTTTACTTGTGGACAAAGTGTTTACAAATGGTTTTTCTTCAAAGTAAAAGATTGAGTAATAATGGCAAATTGTTTAATGCTGACTGTGATTCAGTGAATGTGACTCTATGGGAACTTCAGTGGATATACCAGAGCTTCACTCAATTGACATGAGTAAGTCCTTACTCAGCACAGCAGACACCATTGAGTGAACGTGACTCTTCCCAATATGATTCACTGGACGTGCTCCATGTTAAAGAACACAGTTACTTTACGTCTGGCTCCGAAAGTAATCACCAAAAGGATCAAAGAAAAGCGGTCCAAAAGGGACATAGCAACTTTGACCACACACGAAAAAAAGAAAAAAAAAAAAATCAAAAATTGAAGTGAACAAACCATGCATTGGGGGTTTGAAGCTAAGTAAACATTGCCAACACGCACTGAAAAGTTACATTTTGGATGATGGAATAATACTGTTATTAAATACAAGCTGCGAGTTTCATGAAAAGCTCTGTCGTTGACTCTTTTGCAAACCCTGTAGTGTCACGTTCCAGTTTAATCCCTGTTAGAGAGGTCAAAGACCTTACAAATCGTGCAACAGAGGTGCTGGATTCAGAGGTGAGGCAATCCTTATGCTCAAACAGACACAAATCCTCCTGGAGTCGGCTGGAGACAAAATAGATCAAGATGGGAGTTTTTCCCCTCACATCCCTTTTGAATGAAGATTCATGAAGATGAGTGCTCTGCTCCCAGTTTGTCTTGTCTCACCTGTCAGGTTGTGCTCCGCTGGGAGACAGCGTGTATGAGCGAGCATTGATATCCCAGTTGCTTCGCAGTAAGCTCTTCTGATTGAAGAACGAACTGGCCGCTGGCTTGGCACGGGTCGGTGGGAACCTTTCTGGTTCTGGTTAGCAAACTAAAGCCACTCGTGAGAGATCAGGGCCTTACTGATCCGAGCCTCTAGCTTGTTTCTAAACACTCAAAAGCTACACTGCTCAAACACTCAACTTGCAGTCGGGTGGGGAAATTAGCTTAAGATATAATGTGTCAGTGTAGCTACTGTTTAGATCAGGGGGTACTGAAAATTACAGAAATGGGCTCAACTTTAAAGTAGTTCAATTTAATCACCCCCATGTCATCCAAGATGTCCAAGTCTTTCTTTCTTCAGTCGAAAAAGAAATTAAGGTTTGTGATGAAAACATTCTAGGATTTTCTCCATATAGTGGACTTCAATGGGAACCAAACGATTCAAGGTCCAAATGAGAGTTTCAGTGCAGCTTCAAAGGGCTTTAAACGACACCAGACGATGAATAAGGGTCTTATCTAGGACCCCTCGAGTCATGACTCGAAAAAAGATTTGTTC